ATATATATATATATAGGCTATCTATTCCATAGTAACACTTAAGACATACCTACTAGCTACTACCTAACTGCTAGTTTAAATATATGTAACATACATAGATAAATAAATGGCTTCACTACATATATGAATATTATAGTTGGCGTTTTCTCCTTGATTTTTAATAGGTTTGATTACAAAATATATAGAACTTATATACTGCTTTTTTTATATATTAACTATATTTTTAAAACCTTCCATAAGAGGTAAATGAATAAAATAATTGCATAATACATTTTTACTTACTAAAGGCATTTTTGAAACTCTACACAACATACGTTATTCATTTTCTTTATTTTGATTTCTCATACGTAAGTAATATTTTGTTTGAAAATAAAATTTATAATGAAAATGAATTAAAGTAACATCTCTTGGACGATGTCCAATACACGAAATATGGACCCACCTGACTTCGGATATAAAATAATAAGTTATAGGCTTTATTTAATGTTTAATGTATAATATTTATTTTGGCTCACGCGTGCTTGACTCATTACTCTGCTAAATATTTTCTAAATTAAAAGTAAAAAAACGTTGCGATATCGTTACGTTTGGATTTTGGACTTTAGTAGCAGCACCTAAACTGTATGTAAAAAAATATATTATGTGTATTGAAAATTGGGTTTTCATATTAGACTTCCAGTAAATATATTCTTTTTACAATAAGAGTTTGTAGTTAATATTTTTTTTATATATCTAATCCTTTATTACACAGAAAAAAAGAAAAAAAATTAAAAAGTATACAAAAATGTGCAAAAATGTTTGATTTGAGTGTACGGGCCGCCTTATTACTAAAAGTGATCTCTTCCAGGCAACCTATAATAATAGAAAGAAACTCGTACGGTTGCATAGAAAATGGTCAGCGCATAAGATTTTATAGTTATTTTTTTTAATATCTATGTAAATTATGCACATATTTAGAGCAATAATTAACCTATTTAAAACGTATAATTTTCTTCCACAAACAAAAAAAGTGCTGCTATAACAAATAAATAAATTACACATCTCTAACATATTTAGTTTAATTTATTTAATTGTTACTTTAAAATTTTGTTATATAAATCGAGCAAAAACTTGGAAAAATGCCGCCCGTGTTATATGGGCCGTCCTTTTTACGAAAAAATATAATCTACATATTAAATACATATAATAGGTCCCAGAGGGAATCAAACCCGTCACTAGCCTTTTATCTATGGTAGATAACTCGGCATAACTCAAATATTCTTTTAAATTACTGATGATTAATATTGACAATGACACATTAAATGTTGTCGTTTTGCAATCTTAAAATATTTTTGCATTGGACTAAATTTTATGAGTGTATTTCATCGTATTCCAGCGTAGTTTGTCAAACGTCTGGCGTGTAGGAGGTGGGCTAGACCGTGTTCGAACAATGTGTGCATATTTCACTTCTTTATAACTTTACGTGTTTCGTGTTTACATTGAGTCCGTGCCAATTCGCCTTAATACATTATGAAAGTGTTACATTTTAAGTTTTTTTCCTTATCGCACCAAAAATTTGGGTCGTGCATGCTAAATGACTCAAACGTTTTTGGGTTACTGGGAACGTATTTGCGGTTCGCCTCTGAGTGTAGTTCTCTTAATTGCGAATAATTATAATGTTAACGACCAATGGCATAACTTGACATACATACATATAATTGTTTGGAATTGCGTACTACGGTAAGTTGTGCTTTTAATATCTGTATGAGACAAACGTTATTGACTATGAAGTAGGTCTAGATATTTTTTGTTTACTCCGCAATTTTTTTACAGGCTGATTTATTTAAAGCTTATAGTACCTGTGCCACCTAGCTTCGCTCGGAGTTTTTGGTTAAAAAAGTACAGTTTTCTTTAAAAAAAAACAATAAAACATGAATAAATACAAAAAAATATATATACCTTTGTATCCGACCGGGATTCGATCCCGGACACCTATGATTGTCAATCTTGCGTCTTTTTGTTTAAAAAAAAACTAAAAACTTGAATAAATATTAAAAGTAAAATAAAAGTAAAACTTTATACGCTACCGAGATTCGAACATGGACACCTGAGATTGTTGATCTTGCGCCTTGGTCGCTTGAACACGATGCTTATATCCGAGCGTGCGAAATTATCGAACATAATATTTTGCGTGAAATCATATAAAAGAAATAATAATAAAGCTTTATTTATTCTATAAATGCTTACTTATAATTTTAAATTATAATTACTCTTACTTATTTAATAATTTTTAACATTGTATTTTAACAGATCATATTTATAACTTATTTGATTATATTTAATTTAACTTCAATTTTTGGTTAGTGACTATTTATTAACATATCATTTTTTAACTAATAATTTTGTAAACTGGAATTAAATTATTTTAAAAATCTTTAATATTATTTGAAATGATATTGTATGTTGTGATAACCTATTTAGTTACATTCAACTTGTTGTTAGCTTATGAGCAATTACTTAATTGATTAATATATATATAAATTATCATTAACAAATAAATAAATCAACAATCACAATAAATACAATAATTCAATTGAGTAAATACTAAACATTTCACAATAATAAATATAAATAAAATTTCTTTCCATACATTAATGCTGACAATAGTTATAAATGTATTTAATTTCATAATTAAATTTATTTATTTAGTAAATGTCTTTTGTGAATTTCCTATTAGGTTTCATGTATAGACCCCTCTTGGGTAAAAGCCTCCTCCAAAGTAGTCCTGCATAGAGCTCTCCGTTCGAGATTATGCTTGTATGATTGCAAAGGGTTTCTTTTCAAATTTTGTTTCTAATATATAATTTGTTTCTGATATACCTATAAAGTTTTAATATTAGCAGGTTTGGTTTTCTTTGTATGTTGTTTATTTAAGTATATTATAGTTGATTGTACTTTTAATTCCTTCTTTCATTTCTAACATTTCTGTTTTCTGTTGTCTTATTTCTTGTTTATTAACAACGTTTTTATGTCCTCCATTTTAAGTAGAAAAGCTGATTGAAAAAGAACACCTATTATACTTAGTTGAATTGCAATTTTATACCGAGTATTAAATTTTAAGGATATAAACTTATGTTTTAATATTTTACGCTTTCACTTCACAAATTTATTTTGTTTTATTGTCATCACACACAGAAAAGATGGTTTTGCACTGATAGTATCTATATGTTCTGTTTGTCACTTTTGTATTTGTTTGGTAGGTGAATTTTTAAAAACTCATTTGTTCCTCAACACATCAAGACTTGGTGATGTTTACATAATGCCCATAGATTTTATCGATAAATTTATAACACTTTTCTTTAGATTATTTTCACTATAATATTTTTAAACTTGATATAAATACGGACACGATGTATTGTAGACAGTTGCACAGTGGCACCTCCCACCCACCAGAAGTGACAACTGACAACTAACAATGCAAAAATTGTGAAAATGCAAAAAAAATCGCATGAAAATTCGAAAACTCGCGTTTTTCCAGATATAAGACTAATCTAGATCAATTTATCGCCCCCGAAACCCTCTGTCTGCTAAATTTCATGCAAATCGTTGGAGCCGTTTTCGAGATTCAGATTATATATTGATATATATATACATATATATATATACATACATATATATATATATACATACATATATATATATATAAGATATGAGACCAAATTAAAAAAAAATCATTTCTTGATGATGATGAGAATGAATTTAATTAAAAATATTCAATACAGTTTACCTTAGTGTGATATAGAAAAAATTGTCATGTCATATAAAATTAAAACAAAAGTTGAATTGCAGAAGAAACAGAAACAGAAAGTTGCAAAAAAATTGCGGGGCAATAAGTAAAAGAAAGTCATTAGAAAAATTGCAAACATTGCATTGCGTGAAAACTCAGTAAAGTAAAATAACATATCATAAAACATATATACATATATTGTTTATATATAACATATACATAAAACATATCATAAACATAATGTATTTGTTTTCGGGCTTTTAAATAGCCTTTCACAATTTATAGCGCTGCATGACCACGTTTCCCCATTGTTTGCAGAGTGGCCGCAAATAGCTAGATGTAAATAGCTCGGCCTTTGCACTATCATTTATAATCTAGTAGAGGATAGTTAAATAATTTCCTCTGTCATAGTTATAATCCATAATGTGAGATAATGCATAAAATACCTATTTAATATAATTTTAGTGTTATCTTACAAACATATAATTGATACAAATTAAAAAAGTTATAGTTTTTTATTTAGTTATAGAAATAAGGCTGTAACTCCCAGATTTCGCCTCCTCCTCTCGGTGATTAAATCCTTCATGGGCCTGAGTATAAGCATACCTATATAGTAAAATTTCATAAACTATATTAGATTTACATTTTTAAAGACTTAAATTGAATTAAAAAAAATATATTAGTAAGTAAAGAATGTGACGAGAAGAGTAATGGAAATAAATGTAGGTAGATGGAGAGGGAGAAGTAGACCGAAGAAAAGATGGAGAGATTGTGTGAGACAAGACATGAAGGGGTGAATGATGACGTGATGAATAGGTATATATGAGGGCAGAGTGGAAGAGGAAGACGTAATGCGCCGACCCCAAATAATTTGGGAAATGTGCCCATTTCCCAGGAGATGATAATTACTTAATAAAGCATATAACTCTCTTCAAGAGTTTCATGTTGATCAAAATGTATCAAATTAAGTTATATGGGCTCATATGCGGGCTAGCTATAATAATAATAAATAATGTTATATAAAAAATGAAATCCAATATTTAAAAGAGCAACTGTTGAATATCTCTTTGGTTCCGAGCCGGTGGTAGTTTCTGCACGGACTGACTACACTGACTCCCTTTAAATTGAATTGAAAGTTCGTATGTGTATGTTTCTCCCTCACGCTTGATCGGCTGGATTATCTTATTAGTTTTAAAAATAAGTAATGATAATAAAAAAAATATTTCCTATACAGAACCTACGGGGAGCATATTCGGCGTGCCTCTATCTCAGTGTGTAGAGACTGAACGAGCTCTGCGCAAGCACGGTGGTTCCAGAGCCTCTCTAGCATCGCTTGGAGCACTCGAAAAGGGTGATGATGTGAGTATCGCACACTCTACCACATTTTATAATGCATGCTATATTTATTTTTATATATAACACGTGTGGGACTTTAAAATAAATATATCTTTATAATACGACTTGATGTGAAAAATGGTTCAACCGGATAGTTTCGACGGTCAGTAAATTGAAATGAAACAGTACTTTAGGTAAGATAATAAAGAGTTTATTTAAAATTGTTAAACATTTGGAATTCGGGGAAATCCCGGTTAGATGTTATTTATATATTCAAATATTACACACTAGCAGAACCCGCGGCTTCGCACGCCCTAAAATTAAAAATTAAATCTCTAAAAAGATTTATATTACCTATTTTACCCTCTTAGGGGTTGAATTTTGGAAAACGCTAAAATACGTAACTTATTATTTTTGCCGTACTCAGTTCATACGAATTTTCATGCAAATATGTCCAAGGAGTAAAAAGTTTCATACAAAATTTTATACCCTATTTCACCCCTTTGGGGGGTTGAATTTTGAAAAATCCTTAGCGGTTACCTTCGTCATATGAGGAATACTAATATTATTCAATTTTCTAGGCTTAAGGGTTTGGCCTGTGCGTTGATACATCGGTCAATCACTTTTGCCTTTTATATATATACCTAGATATGTTTTTCGATTTCCGTTAGTAATGTGATGTGATGCTTTTAATTACTCTTTATAGTTTTTCCATTTTTTTTCTATGATTAGTAACAATATACAATACTTAATTAATAACTTTAAAAATCTAAACTAAAAACAAATTGGAACTTTATAAACGTATAACTAATATTTTGTCAATTTTTTGCGGTAATGTTTAACAGTCGTAAACGCTTCACTCTAAAAACCTTGTGCGTTTCTTCTCTCATCGATTGGACTGTAGAACACCTAAACATATAAACTACATAAATTCCCAGAATAGTGGAGCAAAAATAGAAATAGCACAGAGCTATCCTATTTTTATTGGTACTTATATTAGCCTGAATGTGGTAAAGCTAACAATAAGATATATAATTCTATTCAACCAATTTATACAATTAAAATATTTCGATTTGGCTGTCTGTGTAAGAGCCCTACATTTTTTAAATTAATCTTTAATTTATATACTGAACGTTAAAAAATATACCTGAGTATTGTCTATTCAATCTTTGTCACCCCTTCTTACCCCTGTAAGAATTGTATTTAAAAAAATCTTTCTTAGCGATTATATATTGTATTATTATTAATACGATTTCAAAAGTTTGAGGCCAATAGATTTATATATAATCAATCAGGACTAGATACTTATTGACATGTAAAAACAAGTTGAAGTATCACGCTACACGTATACTAAGTTGCTTTGCAGATGGATAGCGACTTGGGCCTCTATTTTGTGATTAGACGATAAACTAAATCTTAATTTTGAAAACCAAATTTTCGTTACGTTTATCAGTATTTATATACTTTTCATAAATTATATTTAACGAAACAACGTGTAAAGCGTTCGGTATCCATTTATAACCTCAGCTATTACAAACATATTTATGATAATCTCGATAGTTCAGATATTATAACAAACGGGTGCACATAAATTATTGTAACGTCATAATACACAGTCTGGTGAGCCACCAGTCTTACTTGAACTTTAGGGATCTAGGGATATCTGAAACGCGCAAAGTGAGGAAGGAAACAAGGGATCTTGTATAAGTGGTCGGGAAAACGATTTGGCATGCGGCATTCGAGGTGCAGAAATAGTTCCCTATTGCACGCCAAGACACGTAATAGATCGTGTTGCACCTGGACCTATCCACCATTGTCCCCACAAATGCAACGACGAATTTCACTTCTGATCGCATCTTATTTGTTAAATTTAGAAAATATTTACTGCTTTTATAAAAATTTCTATTACTTTTTCGTCCTATGTTAAGTTTTGTGTTGTTAACTTGTACCTATGTATGAATGTCAGTCATATTTGCCGTTCTGCTTATTATTATAATCTTAAGTACATTTTATAAAAAAAATTAAAAGGTAAAAAAGTTACTTAAAGGTATTTAAAATTAAACTAATTAAACACAGGTAAATTCTAATCACAAAAATATTCTATAATGTACTTTATATCGTAAAACCATACATTCATTACATTTATATAAACACTCGCGATTCATCCTCGCTTCGCTTGGGTTCGTTCGTAAGTATGTTTTAACTGTTAGGGTGTAATACATAGACTATATAATATAATATATATATATATATATATATATATATACAATATAATTATATATATATATATATATATATATATATATTATCTATATATATAAAAGAAAGTCGTGTTAGTTACACTATTTATAACTCAAGAACGGCTGAACCGATTTGGCTGAAAATTGGTGGGGAGGTAGCTTAGAACCAGGAGACGGACATAGGATACTTTTTATCCCGTTCGACCGCGTTCCCGTCTGACTTGACATAAAACTCAAGAATGGGTGGAACAATTTTTATGATATTTGAGTTTTTGGATTTCTCTTAGTCTGGAATAGGTTAATAAGTATTAAAACACCAGAAAAATCACGAAAAAAAATTAAGATTTATATGATTAACGCTGGCTAATAACTATTTATATCTATTTAAATCCTAGCGACGAACCCGAGCGAAGCGAGGGTGAGCCGCTAGTATGATGAGTATGATGAGTTATTGTAGATTGTATTATAACGTATTTTCCGTGGGAATGAGATGAACATCCGCGGTAAAAAGTACTCCAGCCCTCCAACTACTACTAACTACAGCTCTACAGCTACTCCACACAAACCTTTCGACGTGAAAGACGGACAAACAAACACACTTTCACATTTATAATATTAAGTATGGATAATTTACAACTAGTCTACAGTGTAAATAGTGTAATCCAGGAGGTCGTTAGAGGTTGGATACATCGTATTCAAACCAATCTTATATCTTTTCTGGTAAATAAACAGTTGAAAATTGAAGAATAGCAATATCCCTCCGTCAGATTTTCTAGTAGTATTGGCGTGAATTTCTGTTAGACGCCCGTGAAGCTGGCTCGTTAAATTAAATGCTTCGCTTTGTTTTCGGTTTACAGTTTACACCTAGTAAAATTATACGGCGAATATAGCTATGCATATTAAATAATTTTAGAAATATTTCAGTTTGAAGGATGTTTTAATTATAATAGAGACAAACAGAAGATAAAATAAAATAACTAAAAGGCTACTCCTCAGATTTATAGTGCATTAGATTTGTGTGAATTTCTATAGATTTTTATTTTTACAGGTTATTGTTTAACTTTAGAAACAGATAAGTTTCATTTGAAGCGTCAAATCAATCTCGAGATTCTGAAGCTTTGTTTTGCACGTATTCTTCATAAGTCATTATTTGTGGCTCAATAGAAGTACATATGCAAGCGATGTGACAATCTATCCATACTAATATTATAAATTTGAAAGTGTTTGTTTGTTTGTCCTTCTTTCACGTCGAAACGCAGTAAAAGATTGGCGTGATTTTTTGTGTGGAGATAGTTGGAGGGCTGGAGAGTGACATAGGCTACTTTTTATCGCGGGAGGTTACTTAATTCCTACAGGAAACCACGTTACAATAAAATTCAAAAAAATATTTATTACTTGAAACTTGGTATATATATACTCTTCAATAAAATTAAATAAATACGTGTTAGCATTTTTCAAAATTCATTCTATAAGGGGGTAAAATAGGAGATGAAAGTTTGTATGAAACTACCTTTTTAGAGACTTTTTTGTGATTTTAGCGCGAGCGAAGCCGCGGGTTCTGCTAGTTGTACAATAAATGAAGTCAAGAGCAAGTGTCGCAAATCTAGAATCTGAATATCGTTACAGATGTTATTGTATTGAAATGTATTTTCAGATTTTGAGTACAGTCAATATCATTGAAAATAGTTTAAGAGGTTAATAATAATGTTACAGAAATAAATTTGTTTTGAACGGTTATGAACATAGTCAAAGTAAAAAATACACTCGTTGAGATTTTATTTTGGTCAAATACCTTTATACGCCTGCCTAATAACCTGTGGAAATCACTACTAAGATATACATATAGGATTATAACACCCTAAGACCTGTATGCAAAAAATTATGTCGGGACGGTACATTTCCATCCAAAATAATCTCAATTTTTTGCATATATAATTTTTATAGTGATAAATTTTAACTACTAAAATAACATCAAATAGGGCAAAGCATTTATTAGTTTCAAGATGTTTAAGCCATCAGTTGCTGTTGCTGTAGTAGACGATACCGTAGACGTGCGTAGGAGTGCTTGCACACGCTTAATAATATGACACGCGAATCGACCTATGTTTACTCGATACATCAAACTAATGACAGCGCGCGAGAGTTTTGATTTACGTTCGCAATTCTGTAGTTTACAGGTACCACTCGAAATAGAACGGTTTGTGGAACTATTAGCCCGTCCAGATTGTTTCGACTTTGTGTTTAAAATGATTATTTTGTTCTTATTTTAGTCTTCATGAATACGATACGATAAAATTACATGTAGGTTTAATAAAAGTATTTTATCTATAAGTTCATAATTTCAAATATCTTGCCAATATACGTGACAAGACTTATTATTTCAACTAGCGACTCACCCTTATTTCGCTCGGTTTCGTTTTTTTTTTAATTTATGAACCGATTGAAACAAAACAAATACTAAATGTTAAGTAAAGCTTACCATAATATATTAGTGAAAACCGCACACATATCGGTTAAACCGTTTCTGAGATTAGCGCGCACAAACGCACAGATAACAATACTAAAAATCATTGTTTTAGATTCAATTGCGTTAATAAATACCCCAAATAATAAATTTCTCAAATATCTTCCATGTACAGACAGCGATCTGTTACACTTTTATTATATGTATAGATTACAATAATGAGTTTTGATACATAAAAATACTAGCTTGGATCTATAAAGGTATATGAAGGGACTCATATCTATAGTATATTGTATATACATATAGAAATTTTATGACTATTATTATGTATATACATATAGAAATTTTATGGCTATTATTTCTAATTAATTATAGCTATCTTTTATTACATAGTAAACGTTTGATTTAAAGCCATGCACACGGAAGTTGTTGATTGTAGTATTGTAAATGTAAAGAAATCATAAAATGGCTGTCGAGCCATCAAAGACACAGTGACATTCTATCCCCTTACATTTTAAAGTAACAGATGGTTGAAAATTGAATTGCTAGTACTAAAAAATTAAGTGTGTACTCAAGGCTGAATGTGGACTGTTTTGTTATAGACAAAGTATAAAAATTAAAAATAATTTTATCTAAAAACATGTCTTCTCAGAAATATTGTATTTTTCATAATCGATAAAAGATAATATACCTATTCAATTAATTAGCATTTGAAAATTATATCAATCATCAATGTTCGTCAATACTATCTATACTAATATTATAAAGAGGTAAAATTTGTGAATTGTGAGTTTGTGAGGTTGTAGGGGGTAATCTCTGGATCTGCTGAACCGATTTAGATGAAATTTGGTAAGAAGATAGTTTGAGATCCTGGGAAGGACATAGGATAGGAATACTTGTAGAAATTATTTATTATACGCTTAGTTCTGATTGTAACTTTGCACAGGTATAAATACTGTTATTAATTTCCAAAATTTACCATTTGACAAATCAGTCAGTCCGTGAGGTTACCACCGGCTCAGAAAGTGGTTCTGCTAAGAGCCGACGCCAAAAGCCATTCATTTAAAGCATTATAATATTCTAAACAAATGTTAGCATCTGTTAAATCATTAAACAATAGCTAGATCGGCCCCAATAGGTCAAATTTGACGTAGCGCAGCGTCACGCTGACGTCACTCATATCTGGTTACCTGAACGGCCTTAGAGCGGCTGTTTTCATTAAGGCCACGATAATTTTATCGTATGACGCGTCTCGCTCATCCCGATACTAACCGAAATAGATAAGCAATTTCGACAGGTTATATCCGTGTTGCTACTCGCTGACCGAACCCCCTAAAGTCCATGAACTTTCGTATGAAAATATATGGTTATAAATAAATTGAATTCGTACACACAATACTATTTTATATAAATCAAAAAATATACCTACTTTATTCAAATTTATTTTATATATTTAGACTTTTACTATCTGTACAATGTATGTCCATGACAAACCTACCACCGGCTCGGAAGGTAGTTCTGGAAAGAGCCGGCAAGAAACTCAGCAGTTACTCTTTTAAAAATTGTATTTGTTTATAATATTGCAATACAATCTTTATGTGCTTATCATCTATAAGAAGGATACTTATGAAAAGAAGTCGAATAGATAGCTAGTAGCTACCACCGATGGACAGTGTGTTATTATTTTGTTAATAGTCTGAATTATAAACAGCCTGAGTGGGGGGATCTGTTTAAATATTTAAATAGTAGTATTATACAAAATCCGCAATATTCTCATTTAAGTTTAAAAACTAAAGTTTAAGTAATTAAATATAAAATTATATTTGCCAGAGTTAAATGGAAACCTTCATATGATAAATAGCAATCGTGCTCTAGAGAAGAATAAATTTATGAAATACTAGTGACTCACCCTCGCTTCGCTCGGGTTCATCCCTAGCTTGTTTTCCAATACAAACTTTCATCCCCATTTTCACCCCCTTAAGGGATGATTTGCGGGATAAAAAATATCCTATGTCCTTCCCAGGGCGTCAAACTATCTTCTTACCAAATTTCATCTAAATCGGTTCAGTAGATCCAGAGATTACCCCCTACAACATCACAACAACAACTCACAAACTTTACCTCTTTATAATATTAGTATAGATTGCACATGAGTTAAATTCATATTTTCACTCAATATAATATTGGTGAAAAATAGACGTACCTATATATCAACTGCTTAAATCTAACTACATAAATCAAACAATATATCCACATAACAATATATAAAAAAGAGCTCTCTTTTTGGTCTGTTTTAAGATCTAGAAATTACAATTAAAGTTTATAATTTAGGGTTTTTAAATAATAAGATATAGTTGTTGTTGACAGGTTTAAAGTAAAAGAAAAACCATATAAGCAAGTCGAATATTAAAAATGATTAAGTATTTTCAGTTGCACCGGTGGTAGGACTCCGTCAAGCCTGAGGAGTCCGACTGGATGGGTACCACCCCCTTATCTATTTCTCCCGCCAAGCAACAATGATTGCATTTTTGTATTCCGGTTTGAAGGATGAGGTAGCCAGAGTAATTACAGGCAAGAGGCATATCATCTTAGTCCTCACAGTGATAACGTACTGGGGTTCTGCAGTTTTGTTACGTAAAACCTAAGTGCATGAACCGTACGTGTTAAGGACGACAGGTACCGCTTTCTATCAGGTGGGCTGTCTGCTCGTTTATCACTAAGTACCATAAAAAAAGTCCGTCATCGGGTACTCAGAGAGTAGAAAGCGCTACGAATTTTAACATGCTTCTGTAACTTTCTACAGTATTGACATATCAATGTATAATTAAATTAAAACTCGCATATAATCATATGTTGCAGTTTAAAATAATAACCAATAACGATCTTGACGAGAAAGATTTATTTGCAATGAAAATTTTACGCTTGTTTACCTACAAATCAGTGTAAGTGCTTCACTGACGTCTTGAAGTATCACTCATCATAAACGTAAAATTATATTCATTTCTTCTGACTTTTTGAGTTTACCATAGGATTGTAGAAAGTACTATATTTAAAAATACTATATATTTTTTTACAGTTTTATCTGTAAAATTATATTTAAACGTATATTTTAACTCTGTGTGCATTTGGATAATCTAAGATCTTTTTAACCGACTTCCAAAAAGGACGAGGTCCTCAATTCGTCGGAATCTTTTTTTTATGTATGTTCACCGATTACTCGAAGACGCCTGAACCGATTTGCATTTTTTTTTTGTTTCAAAGGGTATACTTTCTAGGTGGTCCCATATAAATTTTATCGAAATCGGTCGAGCGGTTTTTTTAAATAAATCAACAATAAGCATATTTTTTAAATAAATTGTCTAATCGAATATGTTATGAAAAAACTTTCTTCTTAGAAATTACCTGCTTATTACGTCTACACTAAAAATAGAAAAATAAAAACATTAAAAAAACCGACTTCCAGGCACTAAAATGTAAAAAATAACTAAACGGGGGTTTTCATTTTGAATAGATACCTAATCAGATATTTTCGAAGTCGGTGCCAGCTGACAATATTTTAAGATATGAATATCTAATAGGTAAATATTATGTATTTTACGTATCGAAATATATTAGTTTTGTTTTGCATCGGCTGGCACCGACTTCGAAGATATCTGATTGGGTATCTATTCTAAATGAAAAACCCCGTTTAGTTATTTTTAGTTTAGTTTGTAGTTTAGTTTAGTAATTATATATTATTATTATAACTAAGGGTTGTATGCAATTCATCGATAAATAAAATATATCAAGTAAAATAATAATAATAAATATGTCTGTCTGATCTCGTTGTCCAAAATATTGTTTAATGTAGACAAATAAATTTGACCTTAAGAACGTGTTATTTATCTAGAATTTAAAACACTTTTCAGAGCGAATCCTGTGATTCCGGTGAATGGGGCTGGTCTGGTTTAGAAGAAGGAGGGAGTGGTCCTAAAGTACCAGCATTGGTATCCGCGTGTTTAACGCATTTGAGAAGACACGGTCTTCGCACATTAGGTCTTTTCAGAGTGTCGTCCTCTAAAAAGAGGGTTAGACAGGTGAGTTAATCCTAATCAGAACATACGAAGTTTTAGTTAAACATATAAATTAAAAAATAAAACTTGCGCTTGGATTCCTATAGATAGATAGAACTTTAATCGAATTAACTTAATTTATTATAATTTCTTAATACTATTACTATTAACAATATATTAAATTAACTCCAATGATAAAAATCACAAAATCTGGTCTAAAACGTATTCTCTAATCAGCTAAATTAATTAAACAACAATCGATTAAAAACAAACAGCTTACATTTAACTTATAAATAAAATCACTAATATGCAATTCACATCATATGATTAGTAAACGTTAAACAAAGTACACTTGATATACCAAACACTCGTTGCAAGCGGTTGCTATGACAGAAAATAAAGCAGTAAACGTAGCCAAGGCGAGTTTACGGATCCGATTCGTACACGCGCAGTAAGAATAAAACATTGACCGACAAAATTAGATGTTTTCCAACGTATTGGCCATTGCAATCGATTCGCGTCGTTGACCCAGTTTGGGGTAATTTATTGGAAACTAGCTAATCCTTAAGACTTTGTTTTGTCTGTGTTACCTTGTAGGTATTCGTGATAAATAAGACCTAGATAGTAATTTATAATGCATATGTTAGTCAGCAAAATTTTATTTAGATTTTTTTTTAAAGTATGTTATTTGTATATTCTAAAAATTAATTTCCTCCCTAGCAAAAATCTTTTTCTGCTACTATTTAATACTGGATGTATTCCTTAACTAAATCTCATTATTCCTCTAAGTTTTATCAACTTAGTCACAGAAAACCAGACAAACAGACATACATACGTAATCAATACAATAGAAACTAAGATGCAGTAAATGAAACGCTTTTATATCATCTGGTATCGAGTAAAGATGTAGTAACAGCTGACTGTATTTACGTTAGTGAATGAATATTGTTACACAAATAGCTGCAGGATGTGTATGAATTATGATCTCGCCGCACATTTTATATACACAAAAACAGCACAAGTCTTGTTCTCATCGTACAATAATACCTGGTTTTATATTTTTGTCTTGTCTGTGTGGAGAGTTTGAGTGTGAAAAGTAAAATTTAAATTATAATCAATTTCTAAGTCTAATATATCTTTTGGCATTTATTAAAGAAACAAGTACACTAATTTTGATTGAAAAATTAATCTAATATATACATACCTAATCAATTAAAACTCTTAAGAGTGAAGCAATTACTTGAAAGTTATACGAATGGTCCCATAATTCATTGAAGTATAGCGCTATAATAATACTGTTATTAAAGTGGTTAGAGTTATGAACTCTTAAGGTATATTCACAATTAGTGAACATGCGCTAAAATTAGTACCTCCTCCATTTTGAAGAACAAAAACTTTAGAACAGTAAGGAAATAAAAATACTAAATATAAGTAGGATTGCAGAGTAAAGAATAATTTTCCACTTCCAGCTCAGAGAAGAATGGGAGCGAGGACAGGAAGCAGCGCTAGATTCGGCGGTCTGTCCGCACGATGTTGCTACCTTACTTAAGGAGTTTCTACGTGATTTGCCCGATCCCTTGCTTTGCAGGGACTTGTATCCAGCTTTTTTGAATACACAAAGTAAGATTTAGCTTATAAGTATCAGAATTTATAATTGCTAAAGCCTTGAGAAATTATCTCAAGTCTCTTATAAAATATCGATGTATAAATAGCATAACTTGTATCGTCACAGTTTAAGTAGAGAGTTAGAGAATGGTATGTATGATTGGATCACATAAATCACACTCTACTTGGACGACGATGAATTCTACCTCCTTTCTACTTCTCCCTCTCCCTATCCCTTGATTTTCTTCATCTTATGTGGTACAGCGCAAGTGCTACCTAAGGGTAGTTAACAGAAAGTTGATTATCAAATTTGTAATGTAAAAAACAAAGCGACATAAGACTTTATTCAAGATAATTATTTAAATGAGTTCTTTAAATCTAAATGGTATTTTTATTTTATATTTGAATCAGAGATATGATTGATATTCGAAATGAAGTTTATATATTAAATTAAAAATAAGCTATTTTCTATCAAAGTAAGCTGGCAGGGCGCAACATGTTTAAACTAGTTTCGTTTTCTCCTTTCCAAAGAAAAAAGAAACCTTTATAGGATCACTTCGTTATCCGTCTGTCTGTCTATTTGTTTGTCTATCAAGACCCTTTTTCTCAGGAAAGCATGGAGGTATCAAGTTGAAATTGATATCAATTACACAGGTCTGCAATCTGAAGCTGTGCAAACTTCTATTTAGCGCACAGACAGACTATAACCTACAAACACACGGGCTACCGTCAGGAATTAATGGAGGTTTAGTTGTTAATAACAAATAATTTCTCCTTCCAGAAATCCGTAACCGTCGTCTTCAATGGGAAGCTCTACGTTTAATCGTACAGTTGCTCCCGGCGGCTCACCGAGATACTCTCAACGCGCTGCTTTCCTTCCTCTCCCAGCTGGCCCAGAACGCTGAAGATGGTCAGCAACCCGGCAACAAGATGGATGCTGCTAACTTAGCAACTATCTTCGCTCCAAATATCCTTCACCGGAATAAACCTAATGAGACCGCTAGGTATGTGTTTATTCAATTAGCAATGCATGAAAATAAAATGAAAATGAAAAAATGACATAATGATTTACATTACGGCTACAGGTTTTTTTGTTAGAAAGTCTCAGTAATAGCCCGGAGTTGAGATGTTGTTAGAATTAAACAGCTATGCTTCCGAGGGTGCGTAAAGTCGTCGGTTTTACTCCTGATTTGTTGACTGTTATTAAAGTTCCAATTATCTTACCAACATTTCAAATCTGGTAATTTAGAGAGTAAAAAGAATAGAGGCTGTATTTGAGTTTATACTTGTGCACTATAATATCGCACAGTTGGCTAATTACAATGAGATTATCCGTCATGGTCGAAGTCGGTTAGAAAGTTGTTTTGTTTATTATTTCTTGACGTTGAACGGTTTGATGGATTTGGGTGAAATTACACACTGATAAACTTCGATCTGGAGTACTATGAAGTCTACAGTTAACTTAAATATGGGTACATACAATCTATACTAATATTATAAAGAGGTAAAGTTTGTGAATTGTGAGTTTGTGACGTTGTAGGGGGTAATCTTTGGATCGATTGAACCGATTTTAATGAAATTTGGTAAGGAGATAGTTTGTGACCCTGAAAAGGACATAGGATACTTTTATCTTTTTAAAGTATGTATGGGCTACCAAGTTAGGGACGAGTGAGTCGCTAGTTTATGTATATGTCTCGCTGTGTGTGTGGGTGGGCAGCGCGGAGCAGCTGTCGGAGCGCGCGGACGTGATCAACGTGGTGCGGCAGCTGGTGGAGCGCCACGCCGAGCTGTGGGCGCTGCCGGCCGAGCTGCTGCACGAGGCCTACCTGCACCTCGCGCACAGCGCGCCCGCGCGCCTCGACGCGCTGCTGCTGCGCCGCGCCGAGTGAGGCCCCCCACCGCACTACACGACAACACACTATACACTATACACTCTCATCATATATAAACTCCCATCACGTACCAATCTCCTATGTAATATTCATACTCATAATTAATAACGATACACACACGCTCCATGCCTACAAATACTAATAATACTTTCTTAATTTTTTTAAATTTTGCTTTTCGGTTTTTTCCGAAAGATTGAAAAATTATGTCTTTCAAAATGTGTTACTTTTTATTGAATATGCTACTTTCGCTATAACATCCTCTTCTTATTAACCATTTTCGTTCGTATAAACATAATATTATTTAGCCAGATTCATCATCCCCTCGTTACAACTATCACTATACTTCCCATATACACTACATACATGTATATATAACAAAACACATATTAAAATAAAATTCTGCATTTCTTTTAAAAATATAATTAATTAAAACATTATTATATTTCTTACCCCAGATGCGCATCAGAATGTCCAAACACAAACTCAGAGAGCAAGCGGCTGTGGTCGCGCGAGAGCTTCCTGCACGCGGCCGCCAACACCGCTGCTACGCCCAGGTACAAAAACCGATAAAAACATACATTAAACACATATTTCATACTTAAAATACAAATATCAAATAAGTACTAGACACAATCAGCGACAAAAAATGTCCTCAGCCAAATGAGCGCTCATTTGGATATGAGAACGCGCTTTTCATATTTTTTTTGTTAAAACAAAATTCAAGTTACATTGTTGTATATTTATATACAACGAGTACAAACATTCGTGCTCACCACACAAATAAATGCCCCTAGCGGGACTCAAACCCGCGACCGCTAACATAGCAAGTAGACTCACTACAAACTGAGCCAAACGTGTCCTGAAATATTATTTCTTAGTCTGAGTATATTATATTATACTTAATTCCATATAAGTAGAGGACATATACGAATTAACATTTAAGGCAAAGTGGTTTTACATTAACAGATGCGTGAAGCTTCTCACACCACACAATATATTTTGCTTTTCAGTGAAACCCATATCATTGAGTAACTTACACGTACACATACATCACATTCACGCTTCTTCAACTAATTATAAAAAGTTGTATTTTAAGTAAAACAGTTAAAAAAAATCAATCTATACATATAACGAAATTCTAACTGAGTCCAATCAGTACATTACTTACATATTTTTTGGAAATCCTCATTATAATAGACATTATTATCGATACACAGGCCGAATCTATAGTTTTTAGAATTTTTGTCTGTCTGTCTGTCTGGGAATACATCACGAGAAAACTATTGGACCGATTTTGATGGGTATGATGATAGCTGGTTATCCGGATCCACATATAGCATACTTTTTACTACTAAAATATCTCATCTCTGAGAAATCTATACTAACCGTTAAAGTTAGTACACGTACGAACCCAAGCGGAGCGAGGGCGTGTCGCTAGTAGTACAGACGTTACTTTTACAGACAGTCAATTTTCCCACTACATTTTCTCATACTCGTGTGAGTTACCAACGTACATACTTTTTACTAAATCTAAAAAGATAAACTAGAAGTGATGTTTTTAAAATTATCCCATTCTTGGGGTGGAAAAAATACTACACTCACTTATACCTACTTAAATTTTTTTTATTCTTGAACCATTCAAATTATTCAACATTTAAAATATATTAATCATACACTGTAAAGCTAATTATAGTAATTAAACTAGCGACTCAGCCTCGTTCGCTCGGGTTCGTCCTTAGGTTGTTTCACCATACAATTTTCATTCCCATTTTCATCCCCCTTAAGGGATGATATCCTGTATAAAAACTACTCTATATCCTTCCCAGGGTCTCAAACTATCTTCTTACCAAATTTCATCTAAATCGGTTCAGTAGTTTCGGCACCTATTCAGTACAAACAAACAAACAAACAAACAAACAAACAAACAAACAAAACAAATCAAATCTTTCCTCTTTATAATATTAGTATAGATATAATTAAAGAAAAAAAAATATACATAAGGAAACAAATTTAAAATCGCACATAATATGCATAGGATCGATAGAGGCCGGCGTTCCCGCGCCGCCTCCGACACCTCATCCGCTTCTCTCGCTTCCACCATCACATTCCTCACGAGGCAAGCCCGCGTACAAATACTGCTTGCTTTAGATTTAAACACTCAGACTAAACAATCATATAGATGGAGTCCGCCAAAATAAATGTCCACTCGAAAATAGTAGCGTGATTTACTGTTTATGCTTCCATTATCGATTTTGCCATACATCTATATAGCTTTTTTTTAAATAAGAAGGGAAATTTGACATAATATGTATTAGTTATTTAATATACATTGTTTTAGAATAAAATGGACCCAGTTATGCAAAAAACAGCCATGTGTTTTTTAGCCATTTTTCTGTCGATAGTGGCACTTGGGTTGTTTTGTTTTTCTGGTTATTTTAAAATTTAGCCATTTTTCTGTCGATAGTGGCACTTGGGTTATGTTTTGTTTTTTCTGGTTATTTTAAAATTGAACAATATTTATATAAGTATTGTTTATTTTTTATATTTTTTTTATTTTTTTATAATAAAATGCTTATAACTCTGTTGGTACTTTTACGCACATGGCTGTTTTTTGCATAACTGGGTCTAAATATGAATAATAGAAATAACAGTTTATTTTTCAGTATTTTTTAAACATTAGTTCTCTTCCTCTTGAAAGGCAAAATATTAGTATATTTTTTATTATATAGTATTTTTATTTATTGAGATCTATTTAATTATTACTCAGTATAGAAATTGTCATTTTTATACTATTTTAAAACATTATCGTGTGGCTTCATGTTTAGTTCCATGACACTCTATCTATATTATTCCTTAGTCTGAGATATTTATATTTGCATGAGAGCAAACTGATTGTTGTTGTATTTCCAATAGACCCTTTCCTCAAATTAGTCCTGCATTTTAATAACGTTGTAATTCCTAAAAAATTGAACAATACTACGGCACACGCGAAACTCAACTAAGATGGTGCCACTAGAATAAGAGGTTAAATAAAAAAAACGACCTCTGTATAAATAAAATGTAAAGGCAGTAATAGCTTAGTTGTAACGTACTCACTTGTACAATCAAGTGAAGCGAGTTCAAATCCCGGGTCTCAGATTTTTTTTTAATGTTCATATTATTCTCTACGTGATTGAAGGAAAATATCCTAAATTTTAATTTAACTGGTTTTCAAAAGACGTGTAAAGTTTTCGAACAACCAACTCGCACTTGGCCAGCGTGGTGGGCTATGGCCTGATCCCCCTCGTACTGAAGGGAGGCCCGTGCCCAGCAGTGGGACGTTAAAAAGGGCACATTATTAAAGCATACGATAAATATACAAACTGAATTGAATAAACTAAATTCGCTCGTTAATTTTTATATTAAATTAAAAAAAATATGGATCTTTACAAGTCTCTTATTTTTTTCAAATGAATGTAAATAAATAATCAACTATAAGAAAAAGATAGTCATATTAGTTATTACAATGTCTTACAAATATTTTACTGATTTACAACTTTCACATATTTGCAGACTTGTTTTATTTTCATCGATATAATACACATTATTTCAATATACTTTTCTACAGCTATAAATATGAAAATATAAAATCAAAAATAACTTCCAAATGATCTTTACCTATAATAAATCAATAAAAACCATATAACCCGAAAAGATATATATTTAAAATGTCAATCAAAATCATCAAAAAAGTACTAGATATACAATTCCATGCAAAAGTTCTCTTAAAGCTGTCACCAATTGTGTTTAGGTAATTCTAGTTGAAATAAATATACAACAATGTAAATTAAATCTTAAATGCAATGCTTAAAGTTGTTTTCACAAAAGAAAATTGTAAGCGCGCTCAAATCTTCAAATGAGCGCTCATTCGATGAGGATATTTTTTGTCGCTGACTGTGGTGTATCTAATACTTTTTTGATCGATGTAGTATATCAAGTACCAACAGCCTTAGTGTGAAGATTTGCCTGAAACATCTTTGTATTTATAAATTGTAAATAATTAGCATGTAATTGTTTTAGATTATATATGTGTAAAAAATTACTTGTTTAGTTAGATGTGCTTCATGTGTAAAGTCTCCACGTATCCACTTAAATACTTCAATTTTTTATTAAATAATTATACTTATATATACTTAATTTTTTAATTAATTATACTTATATATACTTTATTGCACTTATATGTAAAATACAGAGAGCAACAAACAATAAAATTAGTTAGCAAAGGTGGACTTATCTCTAGAAGAGATCTCTTCCAGTCAACCTAAGCGAGTTAGAGAGATAGTATTAAAATGCTTATGGCGTGATGGCGTGGAAAAAGAAAAATCGTTTTCATTATATTATAAAGAAGATTTTTATTATATTGTAAACAAACATATATTTTCTAATATTTTCAAACTGCTTAACAAATCTTGAACTTTTAATATGACGTGTTAAAATAAAAGATATAAAAACCGGACATCGCAGGTTCGATTTCAGACTGTTCAATATTACTAGACTAGATTGCAAATGCCATTAACTATAGAGTAACTTTATATGTAAAGACTTTATAATGGATCTAAAATGGAGGCTTATAATTTTTAAATAGCGTGAAAAGCGAAATTATAAATACACTTAAAAATCTGTATTCCAATGTGTCCATTTTGAAAGTTCCTCCAAGAACCTTCAAAGGAAATTCATTTGCACAATTTGAATGATATACAAAATTGTGAAAAATATGTATTTATTTTATAAATTCGCCTTTCACCAATAAGAATTTTTCGCTTTCATTGTAATATAAATATTATTTACCAGAGTACGTAGTAGTGAAGAGCGAGCTAGTAGCGGTATAGTGAGCTCACCGCCGAGAGACTCCGCGCCGGACTCCAATGACTCTGCTAGCGACTATAATGAGGTGACCTGTACTTTATATTTGTATTAATCGTGTCTTATTAACTGTCTAGTGGTTAGGATACACGGCTGCAGATCTGAACGTCCTGGGTTCGAATCCCGAGTCGGGTCAAGTTTAGTCATTGTGCTCGTTAAGAAAATACCAGTAACAGCTCAGAGTTGGGAAGTTGGCACCGTTTCACCTTAATGCCGAGGCAGAGCACGTAAAGCTGTCGGTCCTGCACCTGATCTCTTACCGCGAGTGTTAAAATGACGTCACACCGGAGCCGAGTCTAAAAGTAAAAGGGATAGAGAGTGCATTTGTGTCTGCACAGACTCGTACTGAATTGTGAAAATTAGTTCTGAAGTTTGCCGATTGGATCAATTTGTTAACCGGCAATTATTTTGGAAAAAAAAAATTTAATTATTCAAAAATAGGACGAGTATTCAATGAAATTAACAAGGATGGAGCCCTTCCACTTGCGAATCCTGTTTTTGAGTTAAAAACGCATATTTTGAAGACTGAAACAACGAGCAATTTCTTAACATATATACCTTTATTACTTTTTATTATAGCCGTAAATATATTTAATTTTGTTATTCCTTTTAATCAACAATATTTTACTTTAAACCCTCCAGGGTTGCAACATATCAGAGGACGAATGCGTGATCACAGCATCACTCCACATCCCGATGGTGCGAGCGCGGAGACGCTCCTCCTCCTCATCATCAGCACTCAGGGACTCCGCCGTGGGTTCCTCGGCGGCGTCGCCCTCGCCCGCCGACAGTGCGTCGCCGCCCGCCACGCCCCCGCCGCGCCCGGCCCGCCACGCTGACCGACACGCAGACCGACAAGACCGACATGCAGAGCGCCAGCTGGACCGGCAAGACCGACAAGGGGAGCGGCAAGACCGACAGGCAGAGAGACAAGACCGACACGCGGAGCGGCAAGACCGACACGCGGAGCGACAAGACCGACACGCGGAGCGACAAGACCGACAGGTGGAGCGACAAGACCGACAGCCGGAGAGACAAGACCGACAAGTGGAGCGACAAGACCGACACGCGGAGCGACAGGCTGACCGACAAGAGCGTCAGGCGGACCGACATCCAGATATAGATAGACTTGTGGGTTTCGGCAGGTTAGTTACTTTCACCACTTCTTATTCTTACTTATTGTGGTAATATTTGTATCGAAATATAAATTCACTACAAAGACAAGTCTCATACAACAGGAAGATAAACAAATTGAAAGTTTGATATGACGACTTGTAAAAATATTTTAATATTTTCTAAATGAGACAGATTTATAAAGTGTTACGGTTTAATTACTTTAGTTTACTTTGACATAATACGGTGAGAAATGGTATTATAAATATCTAATTATAATACCATTTTGCGTCAACTGTACTTGTTCTATCTCATTTATTTAGTCATAGACAAAATCACACTCATTCCATTCTTTTACTTTAACTAAAAATCTGACAAAACAATTCGAGATCAAACTTAAAAATAACGAGATTTTTAACCTTTCATGATCAACACTATTTTTTATATAAACCAAGATATTTATATATTCCAGGGAGCGAAACACATCCGACGCCCGCGCGGTTGTCGTACGACAACACGACGAGACCACAGTCTCTACCCGCATCTCCGCCCGCCGGCAAGACGTCCGACAAGAGGAGAGGAGAGAAGTGCGGAGAGAGGAGAGGAGAGAAGAAAGAAGAGAAGAAAGGAAGGAAGAGAGAAGAGAAGGCATATTGTTATACAAGAGAAACGAGTTGATATCCAGCGCACGGCCGCCGTGATACTACACGGTACATTTATAATGTGTTTTATTTATATATTTGGAGAAATAAAGTATTTTTTACGATCAGTCTCATTTTGTAACTTTTTTATTGTTCTTGTTGCTATTTAGTTTACGTATAATAATATAATATAATCATGGTCACTGACAATGTTTTTATGGTGTAAAGTAAGATATTTACCATGTTTAATACTCACTTTTATGAGTTTCCGGTAGACTCAGTATACCTCCCTGTAACAGTATCAAAATATTTGGAGCTCATAAAAGTAAGTGGAAAACGCGGTAATTAAACCGTTTTAAATCATAAAAGCACATTCAGTATAATTTATTAGCTATTCGTTAAAAAAGAAAACACAAAAAAGGAAATAGAATTGAGTACTTTCCCTTCTCTTTTTTAAAGTTGGTATTAAATAAAATTAACTTATGAACTGAAAATTATAGTTGGTATATATATATATATATATATATATATATATATATATATATATATATATATATATTTTAAACTCTAATCTTATTAATTTTATAAATGTGAAAGTTTAGATAAATGTTTGGATGTTTGTTACTCAATCACGCTAGAACGGCTGAACGGATCTGGATGAAAGGCAGAGAGATAGATGCCTGGAATGGCACATAGGCTACTTTTTATCCCGGAAAAATATACAATTCCCGTGGGATAGGTTTGTTTTTGTTTTACTAGTCTAAAACAAATAAAACTTGCTGATTTAGTCAATCCAAGAAGGCAGAAACCATACCAAGTGTTCACGCTAAAACAGTTGAGACGGATTTGGATAAAATTAAGTACACATATTATGTCAGATCTAGACACAGACTACGAGCTGAAATTTTTTGTAAATTAAGTACTTAGCACTTAATGGCCGAGCAAACCAAGGGTAAGTCGCCAGTGTAATAATAAAAAGAAAAACATTTTTTTTTTGTATATAGAAATTTTATATAATATAAATTTTAGTAACACCAGAACATTCCATATAATTCTATCATCTTCTATGTAATTTGTCGCGCATGATGATGGCGCCGAGCTTCGAGACGCCATCTTGGTATTCAGTCTTGCCCAGCGGCGGTACGGCCGCCGTTGTTTCTGTTGCACGTTAATATTAATATAAATATAGTTCGATTGTAAAAGTTTGCTAGATATTTTCAAAACTTGCCAGACTTGTAAGGCTTAGAAGTATCTATTTTCATAATATTTTTAAAGACGTTTAAGATGATTTAATTTTTTGAATAATAAACACCGCATTTTTAACGCCAGAATCGCCCTCAGTCTGAACCGTCTTAATAATAATAAACAAATATGTTAGGACATTAACACGCAGCAGTCAGCGCCGTTTAGTTCCATGGTAAGCTACGAGGCCTGTGTCATGGATACCAGATAGTTGATATACATATATAACTTTAAATACATACATATTATAAATATAAAAACCCATGACTGGAGTACAAACATTCGTGCTCATCACACAAGTAAATGCCCCCAGCGGGACTCGAGTCTGCGACCGCTGCCACAGCAAGTAGGGTCACTACAAACTGAGCCAAATATGTCGTCAATGTGTCTTGGATAGAATATATCTCATCTATTTACAATTTGAAATCGATTCGACATTTAGAAAGTTAAAATCGATTAACCCATACAGCTAGTTACGACAGAAGTGAATTAAAGTTACTAATAGTTAAAAAGGCATGAAATTTACGGCATTTAGCCCTCGTACGCCGCAGTATAGAGACAGTTGGACATGGTGTCATAATTCGTTGGCTTACTATTACAAGGTTCTATATTAATTTTAATGAAGTTTAGTAATTTTTACATAGAACTTCGTTATTTTGTTATCGTAAAAAACACAACATAGAACTATGTAAAATTTAATATTTTGTAGTTAAAGTACCGCTATCCTAGTGGTATGTTTTTGTAAAACAGTAGCTAATGACACATAGAACCTTGTAGCATTAATAACTAAATAAGTAATAAAATTGTAACACAACCTTGTAATAGTGAACCAACGAATTATGCCATATTATACAGTTTAAAGTGGACTTCCAAGATTTGCTTACATAGTTAATTACAAAAAAACTAAAAGAGGTTAAGAATAATAGATAAAATCATGCTAAAGAGAAGGAGGAACAAAATACCGCATTCAGGCCTCGCATTATCCGCAGTCTGTGGCCCTTTGGACATGGTGTTTTACATTATATACATTAATATATACTTTCAAAACGATTCAACAAACAAAATCGACTTCAAAAATTGATTACATACTCATGTAAAACCATCGATGAAAAAAGTACTAGATACACAATCAGCGACAAAAAAGTCAACATTTCGTAAAATATTTGTGTAAACATTTGAGCGCGGTTTTTATTATATTTTTTAATAAAAACAACTTTAGGCCTTGCATTTAAGGTTTAATTTACATTGTTGAATATTTATTTCAACTAGAATAATTACCTAAACACTGACAGTTTTAAGAAAACTTTTGCATAGGTTTGGGTATCTAGTACCTTTTTGATCGATGAGTAAAACAAAAAAATATACCGCATTTAGCCCTCGTCTCGCCGGCACTCTGAGGCCCCTTGGACATAGTGCGTGGCGTGGCACGGCGCGGCGCGGGGCCCTCGCGGCAGGGGTCGCCGGGCAGCCGCAGCGGCTGCGCGCAGGGGCCCACGCCGCTCGCGTCCGCCGCGCGCTGCAGGTTGTCGAACTGGGCCCCCGGACCTGGGGGGATAGGGGATTTGAAGAGACCGATGTAGGGAATCTGGTGGGCCCCAATGTATGATCATGTCGTAGTGAGGGAGCTGATTGACGTCCGGCAATCCAGCCAAGAAGCAAAGCAAAGACGAGTTACTCCAGGACTTCTATGCCTTATAGTGAATGCGCAAGCGGTCCTGCAACGCCCCATTGCACTGCGGCGACGGGTTCCGTTGTGGGTTTTAGTGAGTAGGAGTCTCACAGTACCCTGCCCGTTGACGGTCGGCAGGGTCCCCATGATGGGTTTTCCAGGGAAAACAAAAAAAAAGATACTTCTATGATAATAGAATGGACCATGAGACCAACCCTGTGGTTGTTGTGGTCTGTCTCTGCCGGCAGCCCTCTGGGCGTAGTGATGGAATGCGTTAGTGATTCTGCGATACCCCATTAGATATTAGATTGGGAATGGCTTAGTTAGGTTTTAGGGGGTAGTACTAGCTTTTCTAGCCGGTGAGTCTCCACATATCCTCGACTTATACGAGTATGTACACAGGTAGTTAGCGTACATGCATTTTTAACGTTAAAAAAATTGAGTTCTGAAGGGACTGATTCTATACAGAGGGTTTTAAAATGTGGCTTTTATACTTTATTTGTTGATATTAATGTCAATAAATCTTCATCATGTCGAATATCATGAAGATAATCAATCTTCACATTATTAAATAAAAAGTTACACCGAATACAAAATTTCTTTCAATGTTAATTCCACTTTTAACGGTGAATAGATTATATAGAGTCCATCTTAACTAATAACTATTTGTCTTTTTAAATAAAACTATCGTTATATACTTGTTGCAGACAGTGTCTGTGACGCCTTAAACCGAAGATATAGTTTAATTTAAAATGTCAAATATTCGCGTAAATCTAAGAAAGTATTAAACTATTTCTATAAAGAAAATAAAATAAGTACCAGCTTCACAATAATCCACTTGATAAGTAGTTTTATTACGATCTCGGTCGATGCGCTGCTTCAGCTCCGGAGAGGCCTCATTCTGTAAGATGCTGTACAGCATCGGGTACTTGCTCTGTAACTGGAATTACGATTATATATAAACCAAGACTAAATGATCATTTAGGTATATACAGAGTTCGCCAAAATAAATGTCAACAACAAAAATAATAGCGGAATTAGCTGTTTATGCTATTATTCTTGATTTTGCCATACAGATCGTTTACTTTATTGAAATAATATTTGTATAACATTAATATTAAAAATTTTGAGAATAAAATATGAATTTGTATTTTTCAAGCATTAGTTCTCTTTATTTGGAAGAGAGAACTAACTACTATAGAAATGTTACCTTATCTAAGAAGGCGTTGGGCTGGTCGTATCTGGAGGTGGGCGTCTCGGGACTGGCGCCCGTGCGGACCGGGTACAGCTTGGGGTCCAACATCGGGCCCATTATCTATGTGTGGAAATTATCTTAATATATACCTAATAACATTTTTAAATTAATATTATGTATGTTAAAAGTTTGTATTTGACGAATAATAATCAAAGAGTATAGAATGCTTTCTGGTTCTTGAATGGTGAAAACCAATAGGTAGGTATATTGAGTGATTCCAAAAATTTGAGAATTTTTGTTGATGTTTTTATTCTAATTTTTGTTTAAATTTAAATGTACACTAATACGACTATAAAGTTAATGCTCATCTGGCATTCTTAAAGCAACAAAACAAAAAAAACTTCTTATGAAATAGAATTTCTATAATAATACAATGAGATATCTATAAACGATATATAACTTTTCCATAAAAAAAATACCTAATGTACTATATATTTTTTATATACCTAAAATACAAAAACTGACTCACCTCGTTACGACTCCACCCCCCTTCTTTCCCGGGGGGTAAGTGCGGCATCTCTTCGCCAGAGTACTGTGGACACCTGCAGTCTGGGGGGCGCGTGTGTTGCATACATGCTTGGTAGAAGGCAAGCTCTTGACCAGAGAGCTTTGGTACTCTATAGGTTTTATTTAATACAAAATATAGTCTCTAATTATTATTTTGCAAAAGAAATTAAAAAGATAGGACTTTTAAGGCTTTACAATAATTATGTCATTATAAATCTGAAAGCGTGTTTGTTTGTTCTTCTTTCACGTCGTAACAGAGTGACGGATTGGCGTGATTTTTTGTGTGGAGATAGTGGAGTCGTTTGAACTCTCAATTGTATATTCATGTATGTATTAATGTTTCGTTTGTCTAGTAGCTGGCATGTACGGCCGCAGATCGTGAGGCTCTGGGTTCGATTACTGAGTCGGGCCAAAACTGCTGCGGGGGTTTTCTGCCACGAAATTCTCAGTAGTCAGTAGCAGCCCGTAGTTGGAAAGTTGACGGTGTTAAATCTCCGTGCCCCATTTCTGTATATTCTCTCTATATTATAGCCCGCGGTTCGCGTATTTGGTTAGTCTCGGTGAGGTTGACGAAACCAAAACTGGTGTAGGGCATTATTCTTATCAGAAATACAATTTTACAGATTATTAACAGAGAAACTAACTCAGCAATAGTGCCTTGCGCGGCGCCATCCCCGGTCTTCGCCCCCGGTAAGTTCGGCCACAGGTAGTCCTTCCGATAAGTTGTTAGATAGTGATCCATTCTTTATAAGATTTGTTATTTTTAGGCATCACTAAAATTTAGTTTTACGACAAAATAACATTATAAAATTTTAAAAAATATATATAGGAAATTTAATGATTTGTTATGACATTTTTAGTCGTTGACGCCTGGATCGTCTTATTAGGTATAAAAGTATGTCATCCTCTTTGATTATCCGTATCAAATTTTAAAAAGAAAATTTCTATGAAAATTAATAGTATCTACTTTCTAAATAATGACTGAGACTACTACAACTAGAACAAGATCTTAATACATATAATTCTTCTGTTCGTGTGTTTGTTAACCTACTGCTCCTAAAGGACTGGACCGATTTGGATGAAATTTTGTGTGTATCTTTCTATGGGCTCCTGGATAGATTGGAAACACAATTGGACCCGGTAGGTGGCGCTGCAGTCATTGTGCCACTGATCATCTCCTAAACGGCAGGGACGATTTTAATGTTATTTTTTGTGTGTGTTCGTGACCCGTTCGTGTGTGGTCACTGTAAGGTTTGAATTCACAAATGGATCCGGTAGGTGGCGCTGCACTCGGTGTGTCACTAAATTTTCTTAAAAGACTCCATTTTCCGAGCAATAAATAAATTTAAATTGTTGATTAAATAAACTAAAAATCGATGTGTATATGTATGTTTCCTATAGACTAAAAAACAGCTGGAGCGGTTTTGATGACGTTTTCAGGTAACATTCAGATTAGCCCAGCGGGTGATCCTGTGAATTTTGTTAGCGATCGGGAGTTTGAACGCGGGCAAGCCGCGGGTTACCCGCGGAGGGTAGGTACTGCTAGTATTTTATAAATCTATAACTATATGTATTATTAAGTGAGCATTGAGCAATTCTTGTATATACTCGTAATATATAAAATTTCGTGTATCTCGACCACGAATAACGATTTGGACCAAATTTTCTATTTAGATAAGAATTTGCTATTTAAGTTTAACAATAAAGATGTATTTTTTAAAAAACGCAATTTTCACAAAATAAAAACATTGTTCATTGTTGTAGCCTTTTTCTATCTGCTCTCATGCTGATGCCATCTCGTGTCATATTTGTGGTACTTGCATTGTCGCCATTGGATGATAATCTACTGAACACAGTAGAACAAATCTTAAAATAATGATAGGGACGATAACGGGCCACTGTCCCTTGAACAAACACTTATATAACATCGGCGCAACGGACACCCCTCTGTGCAGAGGGTGCCTCGGCGCTGTAGAATCAGTTGCCCACGTAATCCTGGAATGCGTAGCAGTATCCCAACGTGAAAAAATCCTCGGACCAGTGAGGTCGCTCCGCGAAGCCTGTGAAGTTCCCAGGAGACTTCTGCGCTTCTGGGCGGAGCTCGGCTGGCTAATATAGCCAGGATTCGCACGCACAACGGACCAGAAGGGAGTCTAAGTGCGGAAAACGAGTCCACTACACATTACACATTACACACAACCTACTGAACAAGCGCCTACGACGCTACGCCAAACGAAGGCCGGTCGCCCATGTATTAAATTAATTTAAAGTATGTTTAGTCAATTAAGTAACAGTAACTGTAAACCTACTGTTTATATCTCACTACATTGTGCTTTTTGTTGGGTTATTTAATAATCATTATAATAATAATTATTATTTATCAATGTGTATTTTTGCTAAAATTTGGCTAATTTTCATTAGAATCGATTGATTAGATTCAATAATGCAGAGATTATGTTTGAATAAAACGTTACGATGAAGTTGATAGGTATATTTTTAATAAGAAAAATACAAAATATAGATAAAATACAGATAAATACACACAAGTTAAACAACAACAAAAAAACCAGCAAAAACAAGCAACCAGCACAAACATACTAAATACATTAAAACAATTACTTGTTTCATTTAGATATAATATGTAGATATATTACTAAGATCTTAAAAATAAAAGAAATAAAAGAATATATAATAAAAACATTAAATTCCATATATGTATCTTCAATATATTAAAGGTTTAAGGCGGTTTCAAAGGGGTTCTTATCCAGTTAATTCAAATCAAAATCAGCATTAAATTCTATACGTGTACATATAGGGGTTCCTCCACCTTCCATATTTAGGCTCATCTCGCGGGGGTCCGAAGGGGTTGTTATCGAGCACGACTTGCGCCAAAAGCCCGTGACTCACCCCATAGCTGGTGTCTCCGGTCGTCACGCGAAGAATACGACGGAGTTGTTCTAAAAATCAAAAACGTAATCTTTCAATACGAGAGCTCTGACTAATTTCATTAAACATTATTTAATACTTTCTTAGATTTACCCGAATATTTGACATTTTAAATAAAACTATCTTTTCGGATTTTGTCGCGGATTTATTTGGATTTTTGTTTCCCAACGTTTCGAATGCTTTACAGCAATCATGGTCACGGGAGAGACTGGTCTCTCCGAAATCTCCGAATCCGAAAAGATTGTTTTATTTAAAACATTATTTAAATCAATTTTTTCTACCACTAAATATAGTGAATCTATCTCGCACTAGGAATTTTATAGTTTATTTTATTGACACTATCTTTTGACAAATCTTATCATATCTGTAGCCTGTAACAATGTATGTACTATGTACTAAATTTAATCCAAATTTGTTCAGCCGTTTCAGAGTAAAAGAGTTACACGCACACAAACTCTCCCATTTATTCGTATAATAGTAGTGTAAATACGTAACACAATTACGTTTTGCAGTTGTAATGCAATGAGCAATCTGTCTAATACTTGAGTCGACTCGGAGCTAACCAAAAATTAAACTTACTTTGCAAAGAAGGATCAAACTTAGGCTTCATGGATATGGCAGAAGGAGGCTCGGCGTATTTCTCCGGCTTGGGATGTCTGTAGGAGCCCTTGTGGCTGGTATCCGGGATGTTGATATCGTCCGGCAGACGGAGAGTCTGGAGGGCTCGCGCTCTCCGTGCCAGGTTTACTGACATGAAGGGTAGTTCTGAAAATATGGGGATGTGAAAATTTTAATGTAAATTAATTTTTCACTTGTTAATGGCTTCATTTTAATATGATAATAATGATAATAACCATTTATTGATAAAAAGTAATCAATAAATGATTAAAACAAAATGTTTCTTAAAAAGTTACAATAATCAAAACATAATTAAAGTAAAATTATAATTTATAAAAAAATTATATACAAATTTCCGTGAAAGCACACCTCGAGAGCAGTACTTGGTCAGATACTCCGTTCGTTTAAGATCTTGTATTTCGTGATCTATTGGAGTCGGGTCGACGTCCTTTGACATGTATTTTTTTGTCAACTTCGGGTGATCTTCTTCAAACTGCAATTTTATAAAACACTCATACATAAACTACGGTTGTTATAACAATTCTTGGCAACATATTAAAACTTTTTTCTTTCAACTTTTCCTTGCATAATTTTCATTAAAAAAATCAATACTTTAATTCTAATTTTATAAAGCTATAAATAATCACAGATTATAAATTATATCAAAAATGTGTTGAATTCAAGAAAATATACCCTTTTCACCGCATCCTTGTAGTACTCAAAATTTATAGGACAGAGAACATCTGGGCTTTTGCGAGGCTGGTCCTTGGCCTTCAGAGAATCTCGGCTCAAACCTACTATGAGGCAGTCGTCGTCGATAGCCTTGCGTCGAGGACTTTTACTGAGATATATGAATCCATGTGTAACGGCGACAGATTTGTAAAAATTACATCATAATAATCTATACAATAAATAAAAATGCTGGAGCAATTTGCTATGTTTTTAAATGTTATAAATAGTGAGATTAAAGAAGAAAATTCGGGAAGTTCGGAAAAAAAAATGCAATTTCTGTAGGATTATCGTGCGCATTCAAAGATAACAAATAAATTAATTGAAATTGTGACAGGACACTGCCTGTCGGGTCTTTTTTTCAATATATTATGTAATATCTAGAAATATTTCGATAGTCAGTGAGATAGTGGTCCAAGCTGCTTTTCGTCCGAATAGGTAAATATAGTGAGTAGGTTTTCTCCGAGTTGTTCTTAATAGAATAGATCTGAGGTGGAAAAAGAATGAATCCCCATTGCATCACTTTACCTACCTATGGTTTCAACAAACATAAGCAATGTTTTATAGAATTACCACTTGAAGGTATATATTATATATTTAGGTCTAATAATATACTTACGGTTTATCTTTTTTAACAAAGTCCACCATGTAAACAGATTTAAATTCGATTTCGCCATCAAACACGGACATATTTGCGAATAAAGCCTAAAAAATACTACTAGTTATAAATTATAAAAGTGTAGGAGTTTGCAAACATAGAAATGATTATATTTTACTGTCAATGTCACTCATATGATATATCATTCAAAGAAGTTTTACTTTACATCTTGATAATATTAGGTAAATTCAAAGAAGAATTTACACCATTTTCTTTGAGAGCGTAAACAATTTTACGTTTCAAAGTCGGTTTCCTATAAATAATTGCAAATCGTAAAGTGAAAAATAAAATATTTTAAAATTTTACCACCATTTTTTTTTTATCTGGCACGATGGCCGAATGAGCTTGGGTTCGAATCTAGTTTTAAAATTTTCTTTACTGAAGGTATTGTTGTACTCTTTAGCTGTAAAATTAATAATTAAATAAAACTACATACTAGTATATAATTCCTTACGTTGCATGCATTACACCAATTCACTTTACAATTTACAATTTTATTTTCTATTTTCTTTTAATTTATTAAAAAAATCCTGTACTGTAGTGTATACCAATTCCATTGTCGTACTTATAACCAAAAATTATCGATGTTTATGTAGTTTAGTGATATTATAGATTAAGTTATATCTATTTATTTATTTTTTTAATTTTGGTTAAATAACACAAGTCAATTACATCGAATCACATTCATATTTGCTGGCACATTTTATTAAATAAAACAGTATATACAAATTTATTTCTTTATTCAATACGTACATCTATAATGGCATAATCAACATATTCTCATATAAATTGCTAACATAAGAATTAACAGAACTTACATGCAGACACAGCCTTATATTCTAAATAATAATATTTTACCACAAAATAATAAGAAATAAATTATATGTTTTGAGCTTTATTGTTGTAGAAATATAGAACAAAATGTATAAGAAGAAAAAAAAACTCTTTCGAATTTTTTCATATAAATCCTGTAATCTTCTGCAAATAATTTATGTATGAATCATGTATATTTTGTCCTTTTTCTATTGAATGAGTCAGAAAAGGTCGGAACTATCCGCACTAATGTCAGATTGACAAATATTTGCCTTTTTGCTTTGTACATACAAAACAATTTTTTGGATTAATCAACGATAATCATGTTTAGTCTTGTTTGGGTATGTCTAGATCTATTTTTATATCAATTAAATAAACAATTTTGTTGTCTAAGGGCGAACTCAAACTACGTATTAATATACTTTTCTGTCATTCATTTTATTGTTGAAGAAAGAAACGGAGTTCAGTATCTGTCTATAGCTACTGTATTCATATAGTTATTACATTTTAAACAGTCTGATAGTGAAAAAGCTCGTTATTTTATATTTTAAAGTATAAATAATTTCCTTTACAGTAAATAGTATTTGGCAATTATTATAAAATTTACCTAAACATATCTACAATATCATGAATGCATGCAAAATCATTAAAAACTTTAGAAAAATTATAAAAAGCGCAATATTAAAAAAAGTATATATTATTACGCTTACAAAATTAATATTTTCTATGTTATTAATTTCTTTGGAAATAATATTTTTTTAATCAAAATTAAAATTACGTCGATTTTGAAAGCATTACACTTTTAAATGATCAGTAATGTATGAGATAGTTTCATTATTGCTTGTAACATATAAATTCTACTTATTAATTACCTGCCAATAATGTCTATTTTATTTTACAAAATTAGATATAGCTAGCACATCATTGTTATAATAATTTTAAAATAACATCAATTTATACCTCAATCTGTCAAAATTCCCAAAAATCACCAAAAAAAATTATCTTTAAAAAATCAATTTATACAATAATTTATAGATTTATTATATTAAAAATATTTATTAAAAATTACTAATAAATATTTTTTAATGTTACATTAAATACACAATCGTAAAACTTGTATTAGTTATTTCGTTTGTGAGGAAAATAATTGAAATACAAAACACTCCATAATAAATTTTAAATGAAAAATTTTTAGGAGTCAAATTTATAACCATTATATAAATGTATACATAAAAGGCACGCGGCGGACACGCGATTCAACACCCCTCGTGTGAAAATGCCCTAATATCACATAGCGTATAAAATATTAGAAAAGTTTAATTGTAATCTGTTTATTACACTACACTAAAAACTTACATAGAGTAGGTAAATTGATATAAAACGTGGAAAACTGCCTGTCTGTAGACTGTTGAATTCAGTTAAAAAAAAAAACAAATTGTACCTAATTTACACGTATATATTTTTGCTATATATTTTCCACGCGATAACGGAGACATGTAAAAATAGCGTCATATAAAAGAAAGTCCAAATATTTCATATATTATTTTTAACTTTTTAAAATGCCACGAATACACAAAATACCTACCATACATAATATATATGTATACATAAAAAGTGTCTGAGTGATGAATACATTAGAATAAAATTAATAAGTTTGACAGATTATAAAGTCATATAGTTTAACAGATAATAAACAATATTACATCGCACAAGATGGCGTCAATCGGAGGCCACACTGAAATAATTAAGCAGAAGCACTTTAAAATGATATTAATATAATACGTAGTTTTATATTTTTTTAATAATAGTCCATTTGCACTGCTAGCTATTATTTACAAGTCACAACACTTTCCAAAATGGGGGAGAAGGGGTTGAAATGTATACTATTACAAATTAAAATCCAACAAATATACTTACACTAAATAAAAGAAAATAGTAATAAAATAAATGAAACTTTAATAAATAGCTTTTACTTATGCTTTTTTTTAATTAATTTTTGTTTTATAACCTAATAATGTTGTATAAATTAAAATTGTAATAAACAATTTGTCAGTGAAGTCATTAATTCGCCAAATTATCATGTTAGTTACAGCGCGTTCTTGACCTTGTCGATAGTAAGCAATCGCACAATAATATGAAATAATATCAAATGAAACGTGTTCTTTCACTAGATAAGTACACGACATTTAAAAACTAGTTTAACATATTACAGCTATTCATTTAATTCTCTTTGTTTTAACGAACAATCCCAACAAAAAATACACACAAATCGAGACAAAATTACCGAGCCGTCACTTCATCCCCTGTTCACCCAATTTACCCCCCATTTAACCCGAAAATCCAATTAAAGCAGTGCAAGTCAGTATCTTTCGTCCTCGGACATTGAGGCGGAACTCCTTTGCTATGGAACCCTGAAGGGCACCACCAGGTCCTCATGGTGTTCCACGCGCAGCTCAGAAATGGCTGACGCGGCTTTTTTCACTGCATTCGTTATCTGTAATACGAATTATGTTATCTAATTAGCTTTATCGGACCTACAAAATTTCTATACATACAACAATACATATTAGCTAATCACACATCTAAATTATAAAATAGCTTAGCTACTACAGAATCAGGTCTCGCAAGTATACTGTTACATTTCCCTATACAGGGGGAATATTAAGGTAATTTTTTTTGTTAGCGAATAAATGACGACTCAATGATTCAACCTCAGTACATTCCATCATAACGCATCATCTACTACCTGGCAAGGCGAAGAAGTTTTAACAGTATAGCATTAAACTGCTTATCAGTTCATTTGTGTAATTAAAGTTACTTTTTAAATCGTTTTTTTTGAAATAATCTAGAAAGATGTGAAGCATCACCATATAAAATATATTATATTTTAACGATATCAAATACAGAAAAAATTTACAACTTTGATTATTTGCATCATTTCATATTACGGTTGGTGACGCAGCGCCGTTTTCTTATAAAAGCGAATAATTTTATCAGTTTCGATTGCTAGTTCCCAATAACTAACATTTATTTAAAACACTCTGTATGAACTGTGTTGGGAATCGAAGCCGCTACGTCAATAGTACGTAGTGCTTTACACATTAACCGCTCTCATACAATTCTTTTAGACTTTTACTAGAAAATTCGTTAAAAATATTAAAAAAAAAAATCGGAAGGGACTGTCGGGACACACCGCCGTTGGTTTAATGTAAACGTCTATTTCAGCGAGTCGATTTTAATGTTTATGTTTTTCATAAACACTTTGCATATTTGAAAACAATGTAGTAAAACTAGTAATCTTTATGGAAATAATATCATATATATCATTTTTCAGACAATAACAATAGTTACTATATGGCAACTTAATGCAACCTATCTCGTTACGGTCCAATTTTCTGATCTGGTACCCGTATGTTTCGGTGTGATTTTAGAGACGTTTCACGTCAAAAACTCAAAGTAAGAGAATTCATAAAAGTTAAAACATAATATAAAGCAAGTCTAATCTGAGTACATGGCACCGACCATAGCAAATGACGAAGCCGTTTTTATCGTTGAATCCCTATCGCACATTACTTATTTTATATGTATAATAATTTCATTAACGCGTAAACTTTGTAATAAAATGAAATAAAATTTATTCAATTAGACTTAGACAAGCGATTAAATAAAAATTAATGAATTAACGATTTTTATTGCTGATGGTAATCTTGGTTGCTTATAATCAATCGATTTAAACGTTATAATTATGAATAATAAATAATTTAGTTGAATTTAGATAAAAAAAAAATCATTTCATACAAACACAAAAAATACAGCAGAATTAAGTACTTCCTCCTTTTTAAAGTCAGTCAAAAAAGAGCTTATTCCATATATAAACAGAACACAAAATCACACGAGTCCGTTATTCTGCTGTTTATATTGCTGTGTAAAAAAAAGGTTGTCTGTCGCCTTTTTTATTTAAAAAAAAAGTTTTAATATGTTTTTAAATAATCTATGATAGTGCTCAATGTAGTGGAATGAAGAGTCCTTGCTCTCAGATACAAAATCCCTGTGCAAAAATTCAAGCACATCTTATCTCATTTTCTATATTGTCAAGCATATTTGCCTAGTGTCCTTATAATTTTTTAAGACATCTAAATATAGTCATCCTTCACCCAAGTGATACATTACTAGAAAAAAAATACTATTTTGTATGTAAACATAACTGTGTGTCATCCAAATAAATATATCGAAGATGTGTTGCCTAATGAAGTAACGATCAACAATGCCGAGTCTTATGCCCGATTTCACCAACGTCACCTAATATTTTCTTAGATTTACGCGAATGTTTGACATTATTAAATAAAACTATCTTTTCGGATTATTTCGCGGATTTATTTTGATTTTTGGTTCCCGACGTTTCGAATGCTTTACAGCATCCATGGTCACAGGAGAGACTGGGTGTTACATGTCTTGAATGTATAGTTGTTACAGACAGCCTACCCACAATTAACAAAATGAAAATTGCACCAATTACATTACAATATTTTTTAACTTTAAACATTTTTATAATTTTAATTATAATTGAATATGGAAGATTATTTATTTAATTTTTGCTATTTTTTTATAATTATTACAATTTTAAAATATTAATTAGTAATCTATATTTAGTGTTGCTATTATTATATTTACAACCATAAAGAAAAATATAAAATATAGTGTTAATTATTTAAGCCATATAATTGTTCTATGTGTAATTTAAAAAGTTAAAATTAATTAAGGAAATTAATTTTAATTTAGTTTGCTATTATTTAAAAACAACTTACTAAGCAACATCCGATATCGCCCTAAAATGATTCGAGAAGCCATAGAAATTATTTGCTTTATTTGTTAATTGTGGGTAGGCTGTCTGTAACAACTATACATTCAAGACATGTAACACCTCAGTCTCTCCCGTGACCATGGATGCTGTAAAGCATTCGAAACGTCGGGAACCAAAAATCAAAATAAATCCGCGAAATAATCCGAAAAGATAGTTTTATTTAATAACGTCACCTAACTTATACCTATAACCTAGCCATATCTAGACCATTGATCACTCTCAATAATATTGATTTGGATTATAAATTAATTTTGCGAAAATGTAAAGAAAATATTAATAAAAAAAATGTTTGAGTACTTCTAAAATCATATAAAATGTGTAGAACTAGTACAAACATTTTAAATTAGATAAAAGATTTACTGAAGGACGAGTGTCTGAGCGAAGCCTACGCTTTATAGTAACTAAACTATGTTTTAGTTTAATATAAATATATCTTGTATAATTTTTTACTCATAGATTTTTATAACTCAACATATTTAATCTTAAATTAAAGACTGATTTATATCCTGACTGAATTTATGAATTGAAAATAACTATAAAATTAATTATTGTATTATATGTATAATAATCATAAATGGCAGGTAAAAATAGATAGATATAATAAGCAAATACAAAATTTTTTTAAAATTAGGAATGAAATATAATTATATGGCAACATCCTTAGCTTGTATGTTATGTGCATTTAAAACAGAATAAAAAGGAATAGAGATAACACAATTAGAATCGTAATTAAAAAAATATCTATGACAAATAAAAACAAAAACATATTGATGACCTTTGTGGTAGGGCAAGGTAACATTCAAACAACACTAATATTTATGTATGTATACATAACTTTATTATATATGTATGTACTATGTATATTAAATATATATGTAAAATCTATTTGGTTTTTCTACATATGATTGGTTAGTTTTAGCAAGGTTAATTTCTTTTAGGGCAATTTTTTGTTTTATTTTATTCTAGTGATTTTTACACACCCTCTACTAGTGTGCGTGCCTAGGTGTCTAACAGTATTACAGTTCAGTCTCTATGATCTATGTACCTACTAAATGCCATCTAAAAACGTCTAGCCATTTCAGCCTAGTAACAAACTTACACACACATACAATTCATATATAATAATAGTTCAATTAATTAACTTTTCGATCACCACTACATTCCAAGTTCATAAAAAAGTTACGAAATTACCAATGAATATCTCTGTTAATAAAAAAAACTCACCAAATCCTTATCACTATATGAGATAGGAGGTGCAACCAACACCTGCCTCCTGACAGCTGGAGGCAGGTCTGCCAGCAGCCTGGCCTGAGCAGGTGCTGGTAGGGTCGCCGTAGCAGCCCTCGCTGTGTACGCTCTCACTCGTTCACTGTATGCACCCGCTTCTAACGAGTACGGGCCTAGTGCGCTAACGTCGATTACATTACTGGAATGAAAGATTTTGATAATAGCAATTTTTTTTTATTCCTGTTAAACTATCAACAACATCAACAATAACTATTTCAGTTCAAAAAAGTTAGAATAATTAAATGAGACAAGTATTAGATAGAAATTGTAAAGTTCGAAATCAAAAATTTCAAAAATTCGTAACAAAATTTTGCAATAGGTTGACCTGTCTAGGGGCCTAAAGACTTAGTACATTGCTGTAAATCAATGAGATTAATAATCTATTATAGTGCTTAATGTAGTGGGATGAAGAATCCTTGCTTTCAGACACAAAATCCCTGTGCAAAAATTCAAGCACACCTTATCTCATTTTTTATATTGTCAAGCATATTTGCCTTATGTCCTTGTATTTTTTTTAGATTTAGTTATAAAATTTATATTTATTTAATACTTACGTAGCAGTTTCGTGCAGTATTCTACTCAATGCACTCTGTTCATCGGGTTTGCGAGGGGGGGTTGAAGCACATGCCGTCGGCGAAGGAGTCTCTTGTTGCTGCTCTGGTACTTCTAAGAGATGGGTCCTCTCATTTATTATATTTTCCTATAATATATAAACAATAACAAAGTAAATAAAAAGTTAACATATACAAATAGAGATTGAATTCTTGTCAAAGAGATTTTGCTGCACATTTATTATTTCCAATATCAGCATAAACTATAATATTATTATACGCAAAATCTAATTATGCTTTTATATAATACAGTTAAAGATTTAAAAGAAGCTGTAACTCCATATGATTACTTTACCAGTTATGTAAATAAGATAGCTTGGTTTGAAAACATGATAAAAACAACTTTCATCAAGATGTTATTGTAAGTTATAAAGCATGTTTAAAAGTGAATAGCTTCATAAGAATATTATAAAATAATATAGACTCCATTAACTATAATGGAAATATGAATTGTTTATTCTTATAATAAATCAATAATGTCAATGAATTCAATATGTAGTAGTGATAATAATATAATAATATAAATAAATAAGAATATTATAGAATGATTACGAATAAAAAATATAGGGCACAAATAAGCAAGATAAGCCGTAATCGTATTTCCAGGTTCAGTATTCTGATAAAAGTGCCAGTCAACTGGGAAAAACGATAACAACGCACATTACCTTTGTTATACAGGAAGAACTATACATTTTGCACGTATAATATTTTTGCAAGACTAATTAAATACAACAACACATGGACACAAAGGAAACGCATTTTATTTACGTATTATATTACTATAATATCGCTGCATCTGGTCGGACGTGGAAATTAAGTAAATTATATTATTACCTGCGGATCGGTCTCTTTGTGGCAGATACTATAACAGCAACCCATGACTGCGCTTCTCAATGAGCCGAAGCATGAATGCAGCAAACTTTCTTCACCGTCAGACTGCATAAATATTTTGTAACGTTTATAGGCGTTATAAATAGAAATATCAGTAATTTGCAGTCAACAATTTTCACGGATCGCACGTCACTTCACGCAACTAACAGACATATGTCAAATTTGTGTTGACAGTTGACACCGTTACTGTCAATAAAGTTACATAGGTAGGTATTTACTATTTAGTAATACAATTTGATAGGTACAAAATATTGTAAAACTTGTGTATGTGCTAAGGAAAAAAAGAAGGTAATATAAATCTTCTTATTGTCAATCTATTTAAAAATATATTTTTAATCTGTTGAGACAGCTGTCTACGCTCTACTGTCAAATTAGAAATTTGGCTTTTGGATCCACATGCCAATTACCGCAGTCCACAACATATTTGAAGTTTATCGTTTGGAAGTTAAAAACACGTCAACAATTTCAATTTTCTTTAAATTTACTATTGTTTATTGAAAAGCAGCTTTATTCAATAAAAAAAATGATTAGATATCGAGGAAAAAATAAGGTCCTCGATAAAGTTAAGGAATTAGATGCATTTTCCAAAGTTCCAGACGAATACGTGGACAGTACACCGGTCGGCGGGACATTTTCAGTTATAACCTTTTTTATAGTCATGTGGCTTGTGTATAGCGAAGTTTCATACTTTTTAGATAGTAATTTAGTATTTAGATTTATGCCAGACACAGATATGGACGAAAAACTAAGAATAAACATTGATATTACTATTGCAATGCCTTGTTCAAGTATTGGGGCTGATATACTTGATTCAACTTCACAAAGTGTTTATGGGTTTGGAGAACTAAAAGAAGAAGACACCTGGTGGGAACTAACACAAGAGCAACAAGATGCTTTTGATGCAGTAAAATATTTAAACTCATATTTACGTGAAGAATATCATTCTATATGGCAATTACTTTGGAAAAAAGGTCATGGTTCAGTAAGAGCAACGGTCCCAGAAAGAAAAACTAAACCTAATCATAAACCTGATGCGTGCCGTCTGCATGGTGTATTAACCCTAAATAAAGTTGCAGGCAACTTTCACATTATTGCTGGTAAAAGCTTGCATTTACCGAGAGGTCACATACACTTAAATATGCTTTTTGATGATACACCTCAGAATTTCAGTCATAGAATACACAGGCTTAGCTTTGGAAGTCCTGCAAATGGAATTATATATCCATTGGAAGGGGACGAGAAGATTACTTTAGATGAAAATATGTTATATCAGTATTTTGTGGAAGTTGTGCCTACTGATGTAGATACTACATTTGAATCTATAAAAACATTTCAGTATTCTGTTAAAGAGCTTCAAAGACCAATAAGTCACACAAAAGGTTCACATGGGGTTCCTGGAATATTTTTAAAATATGACATGGCCGCATTAAAAATCAAAGTTTATCAAGAAAGAGAAAACTTGTTACAATTTATGTTGCGCTTATTTTCTATTATAGGAGGTATTTACGTGATAGTTAGCTTTATTAATACTATAGTGTTGACAGTTCGGACAGCATTTACAAATGTTGTAGATCCTAAGGTTATTAAAAATATAGAAAATAATAAACCCACACAAAGCTTTACAGAAAGAAATCTTTTATTATCTGCACGGGATCTTAATGTACCCTTTGATTTAGTAAATCAATGACAGTGGTACTTATAAGCTTAATTATATTGTCTTTAACATGTACATAATATGAATCAATTTTATATTATTTTTTGTTATAAATTATAATTTTTGATATTTTCCATTGTGATCTGTTAAGTCAAATGAATTTTTAATTAATTTATGTAATAAATTATATATTATTTTATGTAAATTCAGGTATAATGTTAAGATTTGATAAGATTTTACAACTGTCTTTCAATATTATAATTTTTTTATAAAGGGTGGATACTTGATAACATTGTAAATAAAAGATTGTTATATTTTAGCTTAATTATTTAATAAGTCATATACATACTGCATTTATAAATTTTCTTGTATCTCTAATTTTTAAAACAGAATTGTTAATTTTGGGACAGTAATAATGATTAAAATAAGGAACCTTTTTTTTATACTTAATATACGTAAACTTTTACATCAAAATGGCAATAAGCACTAATGATTAATTACTGCTCGAATAATTTAATGAAATAAATACATGAGACTGGATCGCAGGTGTTTTTATTCAAAAAGTTTCAATTCGCATACTGGGGGGTTGCGCACCATTGAAGTTATCTGTCCTTTTCCCACCCGTACACATTATCTTCCCTCTCTTTCGTAACTTTGTTTTTTTTTCTCATCGCGACGACGACTGACGAGCGAACGAAACACCATTCGCGCGGCGGCATCGCCATTCAAAGACGTGTTGCTCATAACCTAACCGACATCCGAAAAAGTTTTGCAACTTTTTAACTTGTGGCCCGTTATAACAAAATAAACACACTCGTTCGAACTCGATCAGTGCCGTGCATATCAGTGAAATTAGTGTAGTGCAGTGCGATTTACCGTTTCAATTACTGTTTTTAACAAAAAGCGAAATAGCGGGGCCGTATATGGTTGATTCTTTTGGCGTCCACGGTGAAAGTAGACCTTTAAGTTCATAAGGACACGCTGATCGCAAGCCGCAACTAACTCGAAACGAAGTTTCGCGTGAAGTTGCGAGTCGAAGGTGAGTGACTTAAATTACCTACTTGCTACACAAGTACTGTTATAACATCACGAGATTATGCCGAAACGATGTCTTTACAACGTTATTGTGGTCTAATTAACGGCTAACTTCACTATATATTAAAATGTAATTACTTACCTCGATGCTTGTCTCAGTTATGCTTTAATATCGGCAAATATTTCAACTTATTCCGGTTTATTCATTGCTCTAGCAAGGCTCATCATGGCTTCAAGAAAAATCCTACCAAACAAAACCTGCTATTTTAATTATTAATACGTAAGGTTATTTTAAAATAAGTGAAATTTAATCAAATTTGAATTACATTTAGCTGAATTTTAATGATGCCATTCATGCTAGCAGTCTGTAGGTCAGTGCCCTATACCTGTTGAGTTCCCTGCTTAGCCGGTTCTCTCACTGCTCGGGCAACAAAAAATATGTCAATTTTTTATGACATTGATAAACAATTGCTTACATATTTTTGTAAAGAAATATTTACATTTGTCTCGACATTTTCTTTTGCAAACATGTGTCATCGTTGTTTATTATATTTAAGACCTAGCACGAATTTGCTGTAATGTTCACTTTTTGTAATAAGGCCTTATTATTATTATTTTTTTGTATGATAAAAGCCAAACAGTAACACCTACATAGTAATGACTTGCTTATGTCGTATATACCTACATAATTAAAATTCAAAACTAAAATTAACCATTAAATAAACTAAAATTAAATATATTCTAAGAAATAGGTAAAATTTTAACATAGTAGTTTTGTATTATATGTTATACTTGTACTATTATATACTAGCGGCTTACCCTGACTTCGCTAGGGAGCGCCTCTAGGTATCTACGTTTTAATTTTTTTGAACGGGACACTATTTTTTTCCTAAAATAAAAGTAACTTAAGTGTAACTCCTTATAACACCAGCTATATGCCAGTGAAAGTCTCGTCAAAATCAATCCAGCCGTTATGGAGATTGGCCGAAATAAACAGACAGACAAAAAATTAAAAAAATGTGTTTTTCTTATAAGTACCGTAGATAGATAATTTCACGTGCTTTTAGTAAAAAGCTGTTATTTTGACATTACAAATAATAAATATACATTTTTTCCCATGGAACTAACTTTGTATATAAAAGAACAAAGTTTTGTGTTATTCTAAGCCACCTGTGACTTGAGTTTGTAAATATGGATAAGTTTTAATAAATAAACATTTGCATGGGAAAGTAGTAAAAAGTTGTAAAGTAACTTTTAAGGTTGTAATTTTGTGATGTTATGTAATATATTATTTTATTTTTATACTATAATAATTGATATGTGACTGATAGTGATTCCATTCAATTCCTCTATCGAATTTTTAAAGGAGTTTTTGTGAATAAAGTATTACCATTGTTTTACTAATTAGGTAAAAGGCATATTTGTATAGTTACATGCCACGATTTAGTTAATTCAATACGCATTTTGGCAGTTAATTTACTGATAGGATCAAGTTTAACTTTGTTTTTTTTTAACAAGTGTTATACATAGATTTGATTAACCAGAGTGTATTGTAACAACACTAACATTATTTAGTAAACACGTCACTCTCCGTTCATAATTCATGACGAAATCGTGACTTTCATGCATAATCAGCGTACGATTAGGCGATACCAGCGATTAAACAAATTGCTATTTAATTGTTTCTTTATAATATTAAGACTTAGTATGTAATTAAAAATACTTAACTCATATAAACTAGATCGAAAATCCGAAAAGATAGTTTTATTTAAAATGTCAAGTATTCGCGTAAATCTAAGAAAGTATTATGAAAACTAGATCAATTAAGATGGAACTTTGAAACGATTATAAGTAGTATTGTGAATAAAGCAAACTTGTATCAAACTCCAGTGTTTAAGTGTACTTCCAAATAAATTTTAAAACGTGTTTTAACTTTTAAGCAAGACATTCCCAACAGTCCCAAGTCAATAATAGTTGAAGGCGTGAAAACAAAATGGTACGGTTTATTTAAAGAAGCAGGATGCGGGTGAAAGGGGAGTTGTAAGATGATACACTCGTTGATGCCACTACAGGATATCATTGAAGTATCGAGATCGGTTCGTGTTTAAAAACCTGTTTGAAAACAAAAGTTTTTTGCTAACTATAATATACATATATGAAGACCTCTTAAAAAGCTAGCGCTTATCATTGATTTGATTGATTCCAAATATCGATTTCTAAGAAGATACATAAATTGTCGCTAATGCATATAATGTACTAGTATAATCGGATTGACAGATAAAAACGTTAGATAAAATCACGAAATATTTATAAATAAAATTATTATAATATGTTTATTTTTCTTTCCTTGGGTATGGGTTATTATTATTTCTCTAATAGGTATGTTCTTTCTCTTATAAGCATACTAGATTAGATATACAGATTCGAGTTAGTTACAATTTTATTATATGTATAGATAGGTATAGATTGTAAGTAGAATTTTAGGACTTAGGGTCTAAGGATAAAAAGCTTTGTAGGTATGAAATCTTCTTTTAGTTCATGACGCGTTGTTCAGAGTAGGCGTTATTTTAAAGTGATTAAATAATGACGTACATAATAGGTTTAACTACGATACGTACTACCAAAATCAGCTTAATATTTGCTTTAAATTAGCGAAATAATAGAGTATACTGAAAATGCCTTTCAAGTAGTTCAACGGTGACGTTATACAACAGGTGTTAATATGGCAAGTTGTATATTAGTTACATTTGTCACCATTGTTCTCGACACGCGGAACGCTTAAAGGTATTCATTATAAAGGAATTTCAAAGTGAAATTGTTAATGAGATTACATAAAATTTTAGCAGTAGTTTCTCGTTATTTTCTTAATTTATTTACTTACCCCTAAATTTTGGGGCAGTTTTTATTGTTATCAAAGAAATTTTATATGTTTCACCAATAATACATTATAATAAAATTATAAATGAGTCGAATCTGTACTTACAGTAAATATGTTTTGGAAAATCTTATTGAAATAGTTATTATTTGGTAATACGTACATACATAATATATTACTAGAGTATTCCTATCTTTTAAGTAAGAAATGTACCTAGCTAATATGTTTTTACAATTAGTGTTAGTAAGTAGTATCAAGTTAGTGGAGTGACTAATGGATAATGTAGTAGCTATTCTTATAGCTGTAACGTAGTTCACGGTCAGATATATAGACCCTGCTGATATTTATAAGGCGGAGGTCCCTCAAGCACGTGTCTTTCTATACGACATCACTTTAATATTATTACTTACTAAACTTTATATTCAGGATTTCATTTTGAGTTTTGACCTAAAAATCTACATTTTATGAATGGTATCGATAACAATAACGAGTTATTTTATACACTTTCTTATCTCCATTTGTAATTTACAGTTTTTATAGAACTAAACATTTTTTGATAACTGCCTCTTGATCGAATTAATTATAAGATCCTATGAAAAGAGTGTATTTAGGCCCAAAAGGCCAAAAAAAAGCAGCGGCCCGGATTTAGGAAGTCGACAGTGTTATTACATAAAGCCGCCAGTCCTGCGTCTCGATCTCTTCCCGGTTGTGAAGCGTTATTCTCCCATTTTACTATGAGAGAGGAAATAGTGAGTGCACCTGTGCGCACACTTGTGCATTATAGTATCGCCCGCATAGATTTTTTAATGAGATTGGCTTAAATTACAACTTTATAAGACAGTTTTTGTATACAGTATAAGTATTTATATAATACGTTTAGTATAGTTTTCTTCGAGATGATATATTTTATCGCTGTAAAAAGTATCCTATATGTTGACCCGGTTAACCAACTGTCATCATACCAAATTTCATCAAAATCTGTCCAGTGGCTTTCTCGTGATGCGTTCCCAGACAGCCAGACAGACAAAAGTTCTAAAAACTATAGATTCGGCCTCTGTATCGAAAATAATGACTATTTCAATAAAACTTTCCAAAAAAATATTTAATGTACAGATTCGAG